CACACACACACACACACACACACAAAACACACACACACACACACACACACACACACACAAAACACAACTTTGATAACATCGAAGAGAAAAAAGAGAGAAAAAAAACAAAAAGAGCAAACAAAGAAGCTGCGCGGATTGTGTCCTCCTCCTCCTACCTTCCTACATAAACCGCTTTGGGCACGCGGTAATGAAGCGCCGCCGATATGGCCGCCGCTCTGACCGCCTCATCTTCCTCGTCTTCCCCCAGTCCGAGAGCCGAAGCGATCCATTGAACCCGTTTCCCCAGGCTCCTGGCAAATCGTTGACCAGGTGAGAGGTGCGGGGCCATGGTAGTGATACGGCGCAATCTGCTGGTCACTCGCTTTAGCCTCATGAACTCGAAATGATCGCGTTCTCTTCCTCCTCCTCGTCCTCCTCGTCCTCGTCCTCGTCCTCCTCCTCCTCCTCCCGCTTCTTCTTCTCCTCTGCCTCCACCTCCTCCCCCCCTTCCAGCTGCCATGCCCGTCTCCTCATCGCGCGGGCAGGAATCGCTGGCCGTGAAGACGTCTTGGTCGAGATCCAGATCCTTGAGAGATGTGAAACTGGCGCCAGCGGACTTCACCACCGCCGCCGCGGCTCCGACGCTGGCCGTCGGAAAGGATGGCCTTGCGCGCCGCTTCGCCCGCCTTTGTGCAGGCTCAATGGCGGCGTCGGAATCGCTGCTGTCTTCCGCCGCTGACACGCGGGCGCTGCTGACGGGGCCTAAGCCGCCGCCCAACTCCCCCGACGTCGTCGTTTCCGCCTGCTGCGCTCTGCTTAACGGACTCCTAGGAGGCCGACGAGGCCTGCTGCTGGCTCTCGCCTCCCTCTCTCCTCCCCTACCCACAGTCTCTCTTCTCGCACTTTGTTCTCCGTCGGAGCTCTCGTCCCCTCCCCCCGTGGCCCCCCCGCTCTCGACGCCCCGCTGCTGCAAAGCGCGCCGCCGCGCCTGAGCCCGCGAAGACCACACAACATTCTCCAGACGCCATCTACCCTCCCCTCCCTCTTCATCATCGTCCTCCCCTTCCTCTCCCTTTCCTTCCTCCTCCTCCTCCTCCTCCTCCTCCTCCTCCTCCTCCTCATCCGTTCCTGCTAAACTCCCTCCCAGACTGCCGCCGCCGCCGCCGCGCCGGTATTCCGCGAATCCCCTACGCGAAGGTGATCCCGACGACGGATCCATCATCAGCCTTGCGCTCGAGCGCCTCCCTGTGCGTACGTTCTCCTCCCACTCCACCATCCTCCCTCCTCCGCCTCCTGCCCCAAGCTCGTCCCCTGAGCGCGTAGGCGACACTCTCATCCCCCCCCAATCTCCGCGCGCGGAACCAATCAGCCCCACATGCGTCGAGCTCCACCGGCCACTCGCCCCCGCTTCTCGACCGCCGCCGCCTGCTCCGCCTCCATCCCCCCCTCCTCTTGACATGCTGCTGCTATCCCGTTGGAAAGGACCTCGGCCGTCGGGACCTGAATCTTCCCACTTCACAGTCAATCCTTCGCGGTGACGGCGGCGATGATGCTCGGCAGATTGCGCTGCTCCTAATGAGGGGGCGTAATTGCCACTCTCTCCGCCGCCACCATAATAAGCATTGCTGGTCAGCCCCCCGCCACCGCCCCCGCCCACAGAGGGTGCCTCCCTCTCCACGAAGGTCGTCCCCGCCCTTGAGTACGGTTCGCCGGCTGGTGGTGGTCCCCACAAAACCGCACGAGGAGATGACGTGGCAGTCCCCGAGGAAAAGAGCTCATGGGGGAACTCCGCCGCTCGTCTGCTGCTGCTGGCCTGGGTCGGAACCTGGCTCGGAACAGGGGAAAGGAGAGGCAGACCTCCAGAACGAGGAGGAGGAAGAGGAGGAGGAGGAGAGAAAGAAAACGTTGACCCCAGCCGCAGCAGCTCGCCGGGTGAGCGGGGAGACGAAGCACCGGACAGCGTCCCCGCCCTCATTGATGAGGAGCCGCCGGCAGCAGCGGAGCTGCGCGCCAAGTCGTCTTCCGCTGCAGCTACGGTGGCCAATCTGCGCGTCGAGTCGGCCGCATCGGCGGCTATGGCGGCGGTCGTCGTCAGCGATGGGTATCCGCCGGTCGAGAAGAAGACCGGAGTCAACATTTTCTGACGGAGAGCATCCTCCGCGTCAAGCGCGCCTCCCCCGGTCTGCGCGGTGCCGCCGGTACCGCCCGCAGCAGCAGATCCCGACGGGTAAAACCCCGGGAACGGGGAGATGGGCAACGAATCCGTCGCCACTGGCCCGGCCGAGTTTGAACCCCCGGATAACCATGACGTCAAACGGGTGTCCACCCTCAGGGCAGGACGCCGGAACGGTTTCGTCGGATTGCCTTCGCCTCGGAGTGACTGTCCCAGCACTTCTTCACCTCCAGCAAGCCGCTCCTGGCCACCAGACCCCGTCATCTCTGCCATAGCCTGCTGCAAGTTGTACTCGCTGGACCGAAGGCTTGGGGAGACAGCGCGGCGGTCGCTGTATCTAGATCTAGCCTCCCTCTCCTCGCCTGCCATGCTCTGCTTATGAGCCTATCGTGGTTCCTTTCCGCCACAGTGGTCTTCCCTTCCGATGACTCCCGCTAGCTTCGATTACGCTAATTGCACAGCACCCATAGCGCACTCTCTTCCCACCTCTCTCTCTCTCTCTCTCTCTCTCTCTCTCTCTCTCTCTCTCTCTCTCTCTCTCT